GCTGCACGGGGTTCGAACCAGCGGGGTTTTAAAAATGGCGGCGCCCCGCTTATGCAAATGAAGCCCGGGAAATTCAAATCCCGGGCTTCATTTGCAAGTGCGGTATGCCTACATTACCCCGCTAGTTCGAACTAGCGGGGTAGTGTAGACATACCCTAAGAGTGGTGCAATAAGAGTATCCACTAAGATCCTCTGAATTTCAGTAGGATAATGACAGTATTTCTTAACCCATCTGCATTTAAACAGATGCTATGCCAAGTATAATAGTTGTAACGTATGTGGTCCTAAATATCCAACTAGACATTTACTACTTTCAAGCAAAGAAAAGCAGTTGTACTTACAATAACATGTTCCTTTAAGTGGATTTCCCTGGTATCGATTTTCTACTTCACACCTAAAAAGAATTTTTTTTAAATCAATAATGGTTTTCAGTCTTATTTTCTCTTTTTTTTTGTTTGAATCTCTATCCATTTAAAAAAATTATACAACACAGCTTGAGCGGAGAAGATAACTGTATACAATTAAAAACAAAAGGTGCACGTCTGAAGCTGTAATGAGCTATTGAAGAAACCATGGAAACTTGGAAGTTAGAGTAGAAAGCAATGAAACTCAAGTATGAAAATTACAGGAAGGAGAGGTGACTCTCCTTGTGCAGTAATTGGAGTTCTTTGAGATGTGTACCCCTGCAGGTGCTTCATATTAGGTGTGCATGTGAGCTGTGCCTCTGATCAGAGGATTTTAGCAGCCGTGCCCCTTTTGCTCACACCTGTACCCTACCCATCCCTGTGCCCCGTACGAAGGCTTCATAGGGCTGAGTGGAAAAACTGTTCTCGGTTTCTTCTCTAAAACAAAACCCACACAGGAAGTTCCTAGGCAGAGGCGGTAAAGGGTGGGTAGTGGAGCACCCACAGGGTCCACCTTGACGAATTTCAGTTATTGCACAACATGAGGAAGGTCTCCTGCCCTGAACAGAATCCCTGTGGGCTTTCCACTTCAGGTGACTCCAATTCAATAATCCTTTGAGGAGACAGAAGTTTGGGAACAGAGCCCATCACAGATCGTGCATATTTAAGCCAACAGAACATCTCTGAGATTCAGACAGTGATCTAGTAGAGTGAGCACTCACTCTTAAGGGAGATGTAACAACAAAAAACAAACAAAACCACAGCGGGCAATAATACACCCAGGAGATACATCTAGAAAGTTTCTGAGTAAAGATCAGTACTCGACCTATCTGCAATGGAAACTAAGTCTGGGGACTTCATGAAAGGCCTAGACCTATCCAAGTAAAATCATAGGCTGTGTCTACACTGGGCCACTTATTCCGGAAAATCAGCCGCTTTTCCGGAATAAGCTGCGAGCTGTCTACACTGGCCCTTGAATTTCCGGAAAAGCAATGATGCTCTACTGTACAAAATCAGCCGCTATTCCGGAAAAACTATTCTGCTCCCGCTCGGGCATAAGTCCTTATTCCGGAACACTGTTCCGGAAAAGGGCCAGTGTAGACAGCCCAGTAGTCTTTTCCGGAAAAAAGCCCCGATCGCGAAAATGGCAATCGGGGCTCTTTTCCGGAAAAGCGCGTCTACATTGGCCACAGACGCTTTTCCGGAAAAAGGGCTTTTCCGGAAAAGCAGCCTGCCAATGTAGACGCTCCTTTTCCGGAAAAACTGAAAACGGAATAGTATTCCGTTTTAAGCAGTTCCGGAAATTCATGCCAGTGTAGACACAGTCATATTGTTCTCAACAGCTAATGTATGAAAAGACGACTCCTAGTGTACAGGGATGCAACTTAGGAGAAAAAACAAAAGATGAATAGTTTGGTTAAATGCCAGAGGAAATCTTGGGTAAGAATGTTGGAGGAGGTCATAAATAGCTTCTTAGAGAATAAACTTGAGAGGATCTGCAGTTAGATCCCCCATCTCTACTATCAAGAAGGTTGTGTTGACAGAAAAATATTGCAGTGAGCGTCTAGCTCATGGCTCAAAGGGCTGTTTCATGAGATGTTTACTTGAGAGGCTGAAACCCCAAAGCAGCGTATGGGCTCTCATTTGTGGGGAAAGATAAATTCCTTTATGGATCTCACTGTGGTTAGATAGTGAACAAGAAACCTTCTCCTAGCACATGGAAAGCTGTTATTGCTGCTAAATTAACCTTGTTGGAAATCAGAGGCACCTACATTTTTGAGATTCAACAGGCAGTTGAAGAAAAAAAATGACTGGACAGAAAATAGCACTGGTGACAAAGATTATAACTTCTCCATTTCTGATCGTAAGTATGTCTATTAGATTCCCTTCTGCTGTTTAACAATATCTTTGTACCTCTGATGAGCATATAGTCACTTGTCCAGAGAACCAATAAAGAACCAAGATGGGGGTAAAAAGTCTAACCCACATCCGGAGACAACCTTGGAAGTTTTATATCTGTATCTGCCACTGAGGGTAAGAGGCGAGTCTGATAAGGTTCAGAAACCAAACTTATCTTGGCCAATTTTGGGGCAATCAAAATTATTTTGGTTTGGTCATGTCTGTTCTTGAATACAATAGAGTTGAAGCATTTGTATAGAGAAGACTTTGTCCATGTAACGAAAAAAGCAGCTCCTAGAGACTGGGGATCAAGACCCTCTCTGGAACAAAACTTCCTGAACTTTGTGCTGTGGCCAAAACAAAACAAAAAAACCCCACCCTCTAGAACAGTGGTCTCCAATCTTTTTACACCCAAGATCACTTTTTAAATGACAGACCAAGCCAAGATCTACCGCCCCGCCCCTTCCTTTAAGCCCCGCCCTCTCTATTCTCCTCCTTTCCATCATTTGCTGTCCCCAATCCTTATACTGCTACTTAAAAAAAAAATTCCCACCATTCCTTGCAGCTACTCACCTGTGCTATTGCTCGGTGAGTAGCTGCTCCTCAAATGAGGAAATCTAATGTAAATGTACCGCGCAGGCGCACAGTTCAGAGAGGGCTCAAGAGCTACTCTTAGAGCCCCTGAGATCTACTGGTAGATCACGATCTACTGGTTGGTGACCACGGCTCTAGAAATTTCCAGCTCAGGAGTGTTTTATTAAGCACTCAACAGTCTAACTCCTCTCTGAAATTTAGGGTCAAATATCTGCTCAGATCACATACCATGGTGTTTTGTACACCTGGGAGGTAAGAAGTCCAATGACTATCCAAAGATTTACTGCTCCGAGGCAAAGTGAGAGGAACACACTCTACGATAAATCGATTTAATATATGCATGCTAAGTTGTCTACCATGATATTGGTGCACTCCTTTTTGAGTAGGGGAAGGAAGTGGAAGAAAGCATTTTTGGCCACTCTTAATTCCAACAGACTGAAGTGTAAGTAGTATGCCTGTTGTGGCCATTTTCCATGGCCCACGTGAGGATCTCAGCAAGGCCAATGGAGGGATACCATAAGGCATGAGGAGAAGATTTCACTGCTGATCATCCCAAAATTTGGAAGGCAAGAGTCTGGGGTCCTGCCTCTGCAACAGGAAGCAATGTCTCCTATAGATCCTTGAATCAACAGGTCTGAGTTTGAGTCATAATGCTCTTCCACCTTGTACGAGAAGTGTAAACCCCTCCTCGGGGAAAGTTCAAGAAGAGGTAAGTCTGCCAGGAACAAAGGCAATTGGTGAACCAGCCAACCTCATTACTGAGAGGTGTCCAGAGGCTGCAAGGAGCAGACACTCAGGCTCGTTTGGTACCATGACATCCTTCAGTTACTGGAATTCCTACGGAACTGGCTCTGGAGAACTCAGTATCAGCAGTGATGGTGTTGAAGGGGTTGAGGATTGCATTGAAGGTGGTCTCCTGGGAGTGGAAGTCTTTGGTGCCAAGTATAGGACTTAGCTGAAGTCTTAACATAACACACGGTACCTAAAGTACTCAGATGCTCACTACCACTCCTCTGAGGGCCTAATATCTCTGGTAACCAGACCCGCTTGAAAGGGAACTCTGTTTTGCTCTTCTTATCTCCCTTGTTAAGCTTAGAGTGAGAAACTCTCAGTGCTGGCAGCATGATTATCAGTGCTTCTGCCAAAGAGAGCCTTGGAGATCCGCATTCTAATTCCATCTTCTCCTTGGAAGCAGTCAGTGACCATGATCTCAATGACAACAGAGCACTCCCATATATGGAGGGTCCCTGCACAGAGAATGTTTCCTCATAGGTGCCAGGATCTGAAGCTCATTTTAAGGACTGCTTCATCATTAATTGTATATATTTCATCTCCCTGATTTTGCAGGAATTTTCTTTTGAAAGAAAACATACTTTACACTTGCTGGTGGGTGCACAATTGGTTAAAAGACTAAACTCAAAGAGCATAGAACTGTCCAGTTGGGAGGTCAGGGTCGGACACATGTAGTGGGGTCCCAAAGGACTCTGTCCTGGGCCCAGTACTAGTTAGTATTTTCATTAATGACTTGGATAATGGAGCAGAGAGTATGCTCATAAAACTTACTTGATGACACCAAGCTACCACTTGGAAGGACAGGATTCAAATTCAAAACGAATGTGATATACTGCAATCCACAGGAGGAAATTCAATAAATACAAGTGCAAAGTAATTCACTTAGGAAGGAAACATCAAGTGCATAACTAGAAAATGAGGAATAACCGTCTAGATGGGAATACAGGGGAAAAAAAAGGGATCTGGAGACTGTAGCAGATAGCAAATTAAATATGAGTCAACAATGTGATACAGTTACAAAAAAATATGAATGTCATCGTCATGTGCATTACAAAGAATGTAGAGAATAATGCATGAGAAGTAATTGTCCTTCTCTAATTGGCACTGGTGAAGCCTCAGCTGGAATACTGACCCCAGTTCTGGGCCTCACATATGAAGAAAAAAGGGGGGAATGGACAATGTTCATACAAGAGTTATAAAAATTAAAAGGTTTTTAAAAAATGACCTATGAGGAAAGATTCAAAGAATCAGGGATTTGAGCGAATACAACTGACTTCCAAGGGAGGTTATGGAATTCTCATCATTGGAGACCTTTTAATAACAGGTTGGACCACACATGTGAAGAATGGTGTAGATTTAGTTGGCATCACGTCCATGTAGGGGGCTGAATTTGATGACTTCTGAAGGCCCCTTCCAGCCCCATATTTCTATGATTACAGTAGTGCTTAAAAATAGGTTTCCCATTATGCTAGGCGCTGTACAAACATAAGTCAGTCTCTGTCCCACAGAGCTCAAAACACCCCAGGTAAGACAGATGAAAAATGAGGTCGTATAAAATCTCTTTCCACCCTTACACTTTGTGACCGTTTACACCTCACTGTACTCCTTTAAAACAGAGTTTGCTCAAATCTTTCCAACTTATTTCAGATTGATCTACATTTCCTACACATTGTTCTCCAACCCTGTAGGAACTGCTTAGAGTGCCCTAAAACGAGAATTTATATTTATTTAAAATAATTATGGATACATGCAGCAGTATCTAAATTCTGATAAAAAAGTTAGTTAGATATTAGCACTGGGAAACATGCATAGCCATACTAAATACCCACAATTTTCAATATTTAGAATTAGTTTATGCACCGCCTTCAATTAGCAAACCTTTATAAGAAATGGCAACTCACAGTTGACACTCATCTCCTTTAATTCCTTTGGTAGTACAGAAACACTTTCCTGTGTTTGTATTACAGATGGAGGCATGCCCATTACACTTACAAGCTGTGAAGGAGATAAAAAAGTAGTTTTGAGTAAAAGTCAGGATAGGTTTGTTTATCATAGAATCACAGAACACTAGAACTGGAAGGGACCTCGAGAGGTCATCAAGTCCAGTCCCCTGCCCTCGCAGTAGGACCAAGCACCTAGATTGTTCCTGATAGATGTCTGTCTAACCTGCTCCTAAATAGCTCCAGTGATGGACATTCCACAACCTCTTGGGCAATTTATTCCAGTGTTTAACCACCCTGACAGGTAGGAAGTTTTTCCTCATGTCCAACCTCAACCTCCCTTGCTTCAGTTTAAGCCCATTGCTTCTTGTCCTATCCTCAGAGACCAAAGAGAACATTTCCCACCCTCCCTCCCTGTGACAGCCTTTTAGATATCTGAAAACCATTATGTCCCCTCTCATAGAATCATAGAATCATAGAATCATAGGACTGGAAGGGACCTCGAGAGGTTATCGAGTCCAGCCCCCCGCTCTCAAGGCAGGATCAAGCTCTCAGTCTTCTCTTTTCCAAACTAAACAAGCCCAATTCCTTCAGCCTTCCTTTATAGCTCACGTTTTCTAGACATTTATTTTTGCTGCTCTTCTCTGGACCTTCTCCAATTTCTCCACATCCTTCTTGAAATGTGGTGCCCAGAATTGGTCAATGTTTACAATACCAAACAACAAGATTATTTTACTCAGACTCCTGACAAACATTTGGGAGAACAGCTCTGAGAACAAGTCAACACCTCTACTCTTCTTTTGGGGGCTGAAGGTTTCTCCAGGAAAAACAAAGATTTAATATTCCTGGTATTTCCCATGTTAGTCAGTTTTCTCTGTATTTATTTGGAAAGGTACAAGAAAATTTTTCTTTGCAGTTAATTTAATACAAGTCATACTTTCATAGATTCTAAGGCTAGAAGGGATCAGTGTAATCGTGTCGTCTGATCTATATATTGCAGGCCAGCGAACATATCCAAAAATAATTCTTAGAGGATATCTTCCAGGGAAACATCCTATCTTTGTCAGTGTCAGAGAACCCACCCTGGCTCCTTGTAGACTGTTACATTGTTTAATTACCCTCCCTGTTAACAACCTATTCTTATTTAAAGTCTGAATTTGTCTTGATTCAATTGTCACCCTCTGACTAATTTTAGATCTTTCTTTGCTTGACTGAAGAGTCCCTTAGTAAATATTTGTTCTGTTAGTATCTCTTACAGATTTTAACCAACTTACTCCTTCACTGTCTCTGTTAAAATCAACAGTGTATGGCTATAAAGCATGTTTCCTGATTGTTTAAGAACTCTCATGGTTTTTCACTGAACCCTCTCCAATTTATCAACATCCTTCATGTTATCTGAAATTAGATGAAAAGCTATCCCAGTTCCTTTCAAATGGTCTCTAGATCCTTTTGTGAGCTGTCCACACAAAGAACTGAAAGGAAGGCTCATATTTGTGTACCTCCACAAGTGATAGCACTCGGTGCATGACAGGGAAATATACATGGCTTCTTGAACGAATACTGAAATACATAATTCCAGGAGTATAAAAGCAGTTTCTTCCATCTCCTGTTGGAACAGCGTTCCTCTACTCGTTGGAAATTATTTGACCTTATCAGGGTGGATTGGTTTAAATTAAACTAATTTACACCACTGATTTTCATCATGATTTAAATAGGCAAGCAAAAACCTTTGATTTAAATCACTAATTTTAATTGTATTTTGCATTTGTACTTTTTTCGTCAAAGGTTAAGTCTCTTTAATTCATTCAAACAAGCTTAAACGTGCTGAATGCATAAGAAAAAATATAAAATTTTATCTAAATATTTTGCATGTAAAACTAACTGATTTATTAGACTGAATTATTAGCTGTAATCAGCCAACTGAACTGATTGTTCTAGTCACCCTGCCCTTCAAGATTTTAAAACTACAGGTTGTACTTCCTTTAACTGAGACTCTTCGGTCCAGCAACATCCGTGGTCCGGCAGGACCAGGGATGTTCCTGGACCTGAGAGCCCAGTTATAGGGCGGTTGGGCTATGGGACAGGAGCAAGGCGGAGGGAGCTGGCAACTCACCTGCGAGCCCCGGGAGGGAAGGGGAGCGTGGGGGAGGCACGCAGCTGAGTGGGCTTTCCAGCGGAGAATTCTGCTCCCTAGGAGGGACCAGGAGGGACATGGGGTTGGCAGCAGCTGCAGAGCTTCGGCCCTGGCCACAGCCAAGGAGCGCCATATCTGGCTGCAGAGCTCTGGGTTTGGTAGTGGCTGTGGAGCTCAGGGTCCAGCAACGGCTGCGGGGCTCCAGCTGTAGAACTCAGGGTCTGGCTGCAGCTGCAAAGCTCTGACACCGACCATGGAGCTCGGAGTCTGGCAGCGGCAAGTAGGAGCCCCAGCCTGTGGAGCCATGGCCAGGCAGGCAGCAACAGTGCCAAGCTGGAGCCCCTCCCTTGGTCCGGCAAATCCCCCCGTCTGGGTCCGGTCAGGTCCCAAGGATGCCAGATGAGGGAGGTCCTACCTGCAGTAGATCTCATACTCTTACAACTATCCATAAATTCAAAGAGGAAAACAATCTTTCCGGCTTTTTCAACTCCTGATTTTTTTACTTCTAAATGAACAAATCATTAAAAGTGAAATGATTAAATAAACTGAAAACAAGAACTTCATCTGCATTGGAACAAGAGATTACTGGTGTCAAACACGGATTTAGTTCCTCCACAAATGGGTTTCAGATGCTTAGGCAGTGATTTCCACCAATTGAGCAGTTCGGTTTTCTTTAAAATTTGACAACCAACATACATGGCTTATTATTTCTTCTGAAATTTTCTTACGAACCACAGATCAGAACTCCCATAGAGCAGAGCTCCTCTGGCTTTTTCCACAATGACGACCACAAAATACAGAGATTCTCTCAGGGACAATCTGCATTCTCGTTCACTGTCATAAGGGCAAACTCCCGCCTCATGTATGACTGCATAACATCTCAGTGGTAGCTACTGCCCCATTCGCATGGATAAGGAAAGGATTTGTGCAGTTTGACTGCCTTTCAGTGCAATTTGCCAATTCATGGGGGCAAGCTGAGCTCCTTATCACCAGCCAGGTACCTTGGAACATCAACAAATGTTCCAGCCAGCACCATTTTAGGATCTTTGCCAGAAAAGAAACATATCTGATCTCACAGATAACAGAAGCGCCCAGCGAACGTCACAGTCTCTGGCTCGTCTCTTTTTATTCATTACAGAAAACTTTTCTCGGGGGAAGTTTCCTGGAGGTAGGGATAGGTGGAAGGATGCTCTCTAAAGACCGACTGGAAACCTTCCCCTGCGTGCCTCTTTAAACCTTAATCCTCGGGCTGCAGATCATGGGACTCAGCGCTGGAATTATCAGGGTGTGCAGCACAGAACCAGCTTTATACAGCTGATCAGAGTAGCTCAGCCAAGGCAACAGGAACACGAAGATGAGAGTTCGGAAGAAGATGGAGATGGCTGTGAGGTGGGGCGTGCAGCTGGAGATGGCCTTGTACCTGCTCTGTTGAGAGGGGATCCTAATGAAGGCTGTAAGGATGCACTGAAAAGATCAGCAGAGTCAGGAAGGACCGGACACCAACAACATAAGCCAAGGCTAGGATAACCACCTCTGTGCTCTGAGTCTCAGAAGAACTTCACCAGTGGCATGACGTTGCAAGAGAAACCGTCAACCTAACTGGCTCCGCAGAAGCACAAAAGGTTGTACGACACATGAGCTATAATATAAGCTGTTTCTGTATGATCCTCAGATAAACAGGCTGGTCCCCACCCTTCAAAAAAGTGTACATTATTCTATGTCAAATTGTACATCGAATTCTGTGTCTCAGAAAAATACTAATTCAGGAGTTAGAACTAAATGCTGGGAGTAAAACGCATGCCTTTATGCCTTGGCCTGCCAGCTCATTCGCCGATTCATTGCATCGCCTGAGCCACTCATAACTCACTTTCTCAATGCACCCTACGTGAAGTTATTTTAAGAATACCAGCAACAATAATTCCCACATGTTGCATGGTCTGCTGTTATATTACGTATATATCATCAGACCTACCATATTTATTTCCCAGTACCTGTTTGCCTAAAAATACCTATTTTGGCAACCAGTATCTTACACTTTCAGAAAGCTTTCTATTCTGAAGGACCTCAAAGCAACTTTCAATATTAAATGTAATTCCAACAGGGATTCATTGACTCTACCCCAGGTAGCCAGCCATTTTGCAATGAAACAAGGCAATATTTTAACAATGCACAGCAGTCTGATAATAAATAAAACAAAAGGAAGAATTTAGATATTTTACAGTAAGGGACAAATTCCAGTCTAATTAGCTACCACGACACTGGGATTAATATCACTCCTTTAAAGGAAAAAGGAACAATAGAATTTTTAAATGATCCACAATGGCTTACAAAGTTGAAAAATGGAAGAGATCATTACGATAATCTAATATGATATCCTGAACACAACAGGTTTCAACAAATGATTCCTGTGTTGTGCCCAAAACTTTGGCTGAAGTAGAGCATCCTTGTTAGTAGGACATCTAATCTTGATTTAAGTAACTCAAGTCTTATGTTTCATCTGAAAGAAGACATTTCCTGCAGTAAACTTCTCCTCAGCAAAAATAACCACAGTCCGGAAGTCTGTACAACCTTAATTTAGCTCCCCTGGGCCTGTTATGCTAATTGTTTTTAATTACAAACTCCCATGCTATTTTCGTCTCCCTAGGATTCCTCTCTCATTAGGCACAAAACATGGTTTTAGGGATGTTGAAATGTGTTTAAGTAACCGTGTAACTGCTGAAAATTTCAGTCCTTACATGCGAGGGGCAGGCAGCTCCGTAGGAGCTGGTGTACCTGTGTGTAACCATGAAGATTAACCTATGAGCCCAGGTTCATTGGTTAACCATGGACATGGTTACAGTTTCACATCCTTAATGGGCTGCACCCCTTATTCTGCCTCTCCCATAATTCATATAAACAGAAGGGCTGAATTAACATTGAGAAGACAGCCTTCAAATTTGGCATTTCCTAATTGTTGAGTGCTTGACTTTGCAATGTCAATGTATTTTAGTTTAGTTAGGATATGGAATACATGAGATGGTCTACACTGTGAGGGACCGGATGAGCATTCTGATACTATAGTGACAAATTGCAATGTAACACCTCCTGAGATATTGACTGTAAATAAAGATCTTGCAAGTTCACTTACACTGGCATGTTCCTCCATTGGTAGGGTCGCCATAGTATCCAGATATACAAGTTTCACAGTGTTTGCCAGTTGTCAGGTTCTCACACTTTTCACAGATGCTTTCGTTGACACACTTACTGTGCCCATTGCACTGGCAGGCTGAGGGAACAAAAAGATACTTGGTAGCTGTGCTCAAACGCAGCGCTTCACACAGTGTCCAAAGAGCCCCGCCAGAGTCAGCCTCTTAGCCGAGTTATAAAGGAAACTACCGCAAGTTCTGGATTGTGAAGTTCCAGTTCCCAGGCTATGGGCTGTAACCTCGGAGATCATCACAAAGATGACCCTTCCCAATTTAAAAAGGTAAAGCAGCACAAAATATAATTGTTTACCACCGTATACAATAGAAATAGTGTTCGGACTAGGCTGGACGCAACACTTGGGAAAGATTCATGGAATTGGAGGGAGGAAGTTACATAATTCTGGGATCTCCACTACATAATTCCAAGAAAATATGCTGCATAAGAAACTGGGCATTCCTAATAATCAGCTCAACATGTTGGTTAGAAAACTGGAACTGTATTGCTTCTCACCTCCATTCACCCCTCCTATTTAATATACTCAAATGTGATTAATATAAAGACTAAGACACTGTAGTCTGGGTGTAGATTCCTGCTTGAAAAACAAATGTACATTCTTTGAGCATTTTCCACTATTTCTCCTTAGTTTAATAACAGAAAAATATAATTTCTATTATTTTTAAGCATTCCATCTTTCATCCTGAGTGTAAGTTTTATCATTTCTGAAATGTTGCAATTATTAAAAACAATTTTGCTAAGTTACCTGGACACTGAATAAAAGACCAGTTGTATTTGTTCTCTGCTGGACACATGCTGACATTAAGGATGGGTTCCATGTAGTGTTTTCCTGTTGTTGATGGAGACGGTATCTTTACTGGGCCTCTGTAGGAGCCTTCCATGCACTTCCCCTTTCCGGTATTACTGGGATCGGTACACCAACCACAACCCGGCTGTTCCAAACAGTGACCACATGTGCAGTAGCCGGAACAGTTTTCAGCTTTGAAAATAAATGTCCAGCGATAAAAGAAACCATTGCATACCTCACAAGTTAATATTTGAAATATGAATCTTTGTACGCCTTTTACTGACTTTCGTACTGATCCTTACAAGCTCAAATCAACATCAATTCTCAAGTTCTAAAATATATTTATCATTTATTTCTATTGGTGTATTTAATCTGACAATCTCAAAACTTGCTTTTCAGGGTTATTACAGACTACATAAACCTAAAAAATGGACTGTTATCCAAATGAGTAAAGTAAGGCACAGAGTCTAAATCATTTAACCAATTACAGAGCAAGCCAATAAACAGCAGTGAAAAACCCCACCCAGCTCCTTTTTAAAAATTAAACAACCAATTACAGAGCAAGCCAATAAACAGCAGAGGAAAACCCCACCCACCTCCTTTTTAAAAATTAAAGAATCCACACACTAAAATGTTAATTCTAATGTTAGAATTAACTATATTAATTATAACCACTTTGCTTACAATAAAAAATTAGAAATATGAGATCTGCGCTCTCCAAATGAAGGAAACCCAAATTTAATATCAGAGGGGTAGCCGTGTTAGTCTGAATCTGCAAAAGCGGCGAGGAGTCCTGTGGCACCTTATAGGCTAACTGAAGTGTAGGAGCATAAGCTTTCATGGGCTAAGACCCACTTCATCAGATGCATGTCAAATCTAATGTGATTAATCAAGGAGATGTACCGTATTTATACATGAGCCATACTCAGTCTACTATCACATGCTTCTATATCAAATAGAAACCTAAATTAGGAAGTGTTATGAAGGGAATTTGTTCTCAGTGTACCCTTCTCCACAACGCCACTTTGTAAAACTTGAGCACAGCACCATGCAGACAGACAAATTTTGAATGCAAACTTGACAGTTAGGGTGTGTCTAGACTACAGGGTTTCATTGACAAAAAGTGGACTTTTGTCAACAAAACTATACCTGCGTCTACACTACCGCTGAGTTCTGTCAACATAATGTCGACAGAACTCGGCATTTTTGTCTACGGCAGTAAACCTCATTCTATGAAGAAAAACGCCTTTTGTGGACAGAGTTCTGTCGACAGAAGGCATTATTGCATCTACGCTGTCCTTTGCGTCTACACTCTCACGTCGACAAAGTGGCTTGCTTTGTCGACAGAACTGGATGTAGTCTAGACGTTCTTTGTTGACAAAAGCCTGTAGTCTAGACGTACCCTTAGGGTTTATATGGAATCACTAATGGAAGGTATTCTAATCCCTCGAGGTATGTGTGCTGAACAAGGATGTAAATTACACATACCCATTAGATAGTCTTCAGTTCCTAGTTAATAAAGGTCATTCTTTCAGTGAGGACATAGAAATTGTCTTATTTGCAGGATCAAACTCAATATTGTGCTCTTCTATTTCAATACACAGTTTCATTCAATCAAAAATTTCATCATGAATAACTTGAAGAAAGATTTGCTGTACTCAGAAATGACTATAATGCCTTTCTCTCTGAACTATTTAATTCTTGGCAGAGTTTGCATTTTGACTTCAGAGAAAGAACAATACCCTTCAATTACTTTGCTCCATTCAATCACATCTCCTATCACTTGACTCATCTTTACGCATGTGGACTAAAAATACCGACTCCCAGTTTATGAATTAATGATTCAAAAGTAATCATTTTACAGTATGTCTAAGCAATTTTCATACTCAAAGGAAGAATGAAAAGAAATAGTGTAAAACAAAAAATGCAATGTGCTAGCCAGCTTCATACAGAACTTTATTATCAGACTTCATGATCAGCCTCCAGCAGTTCCTAGATACTAGAATACTCAGTGCCCTAATTTCCCCTTCTCAAATTGTTTCACTATAATTCAGTCCTCCCCGTTAACTACACCCTTTCCTATCATCAATGATCCTGCCCATTGCCGCAAGGCTCCAACACAATTCTATAACCTTCTTAAGGTTTCATGCCATCCTAGAATGAGACCCTTGATGGGCTTGTACGGGGAGATTTCGGCAAATCCAGTAATGTGCCTGAACCACTACTGCTTAAACTTTAGCAATTACGCGAACAGGCCCAAATTAGACCCAGACTGCGGCTTCCACATGACCAAAGTCAGGGAGGGGGAAAAAAAGGGAGTGTAAGTGCCACAAAGAGGGCAGCTTAACCCCGTGTCCTTCTTGAGGCCCAAATCTCTAGTGAAATAGCGGAGCTATACATTTAGAAAAATAGGAAGTTTGTCTAAATGCCCTAAGACATACATTCATCAGGACCCCCGAGTCTCTGGAAAAGAAGAAAATGCATCTGGTGAAAGTGATGATCAGAAGAAAACCTCTTGCCTAACCTTTAAAAAGTGCTTGCCTAACAAGTTTTTGAGTGACATGTTATTGTAATACTAATGGATAAATAGGGAAGGAAAGTTTGAGTTAGAGGGACAATTTTGGGGAACACTTGGAGGGACGCCTTGAGAACTCCTTGAGGAATCTTCCATCTGGACCCATCTTCGTCTCCATTGGCAGACGGAAGACTGGCCATTGGAAGCCTGCCCAGTCCCTCAAGAGCCACACTCAACTTCGGTAACTATCGAGGGTGGGGGTGTTTTATTAACCTGTTGCAGACATGTGTAAGTGCTTGAGACTAAATAAAGTTTAGCTTTAAGTGAAAGCACTCTTGTGTTGTCCTATATGTACCATCCATCTATCGGTCGGACAACCGTGTCTCTCCTGAATTATTTCCTGACACCACCTCGCAGAGAGTAAAAGTTACCAAGAGGTTTGGGTTGAAAGAACCCCGGGTAATAGGCTTATCATTGCCATTTAACTTTCAGAATAGTGATCCTTTTAATTCACAGATCAAACTGGACATGAGTATCTTTAACTTATCAAAAATATTTTACATATGTTGTGCTTGTGTAAACAACCAGCAGGACACGTTCAAAAAAAATCAAAACATTCTGTAAGACTTTGATATGTTTTCTTCCCAGAAAAAGTTTTCACAGCTCTATTTGGGAGCCTGTGTTATTTGCTGTTTAAGTTAAGCAAGAAGCAGGATTGTGCCTTTCATGAAACGTAGCATGTTCAAGGATTGGTCCTGAAATTTGTGAAGTTCCTCAGGACAAGGATCTGTGATTTTTCTAATACTGTATAACTGCTTATGATCTTGTTGTCTTAAATTTGTTAGCAATTCATGCAAAGTCAAGCTTCCTTAGACCGCGGGCTGGACTTTGGACATGCCTGCCTTAGACCATCTTTACAAATACAGAGGAAATTACTTACGTGGACAACTGCTCATGGTGTACCACTCCAAACACTGACCATATGGGAAAGAGGCCACGTAAGCATTTGAATCCACACACTGTTTCATGTTACTGCACCACATGCATTCAGAGCTGCCACTTGTGCATTCTCCACACATCATCCTAAGGGCACAGGGCGTGCGACACTGCTTGGCACTGTGGTTAGCTAGGCATTAAGAAACAACACTCAGTGACACATGAAACTATATAACATAATATTCTATTTAGTTTCTGACCATGACAGACCCTTATATACTTGCACAATTTATTATAATAAAAAAAAAAAAAAGGTGAATCACTCCGCATCAAGCCAAATTCCACAGTTCAATGCAACAAATATACCAGAGCTGGGTAAATACTGGATTGTTTTGGTTTCCTAGTAGCACTGAAAAAAGCTCAGTCTCACGCTAAGCCAAAAATAAAATGTGCTCAAATTTGTTGGCGAATCAGGAAGTAAAAAACAAGCTGAGTTGAATTAAACAACACATTTAGATTAACGTAATTTGAAATTTGTTTGCTCCAATTTTCAGTATTTTGATAAATGCAAAGGAGGACTGGATTCTCAATGTGTGGTAGAGAGAGAAGATGACCTCAATTATCTTCACCCTTTTGATAAGGGTACTTTCTGGGGTTCAATTCTTCCTTCTGCGGATAAAGTATTTGAAATTGGGTCTCCCCCGCTTATGGGATATTCTGATATGGAGCTCTCTCAGGCCATATCTACACCACCAGCTAAACCAGCACCATTGCAATCAATGTAGTGTTACTGATTTAGCGGGTCGGATGAAGACACACCAAGTCAATGGGAGAGTATTCTCCTATCAGCAGGTCTACTCCATCTCCCCAAAACATATGTTGATGGGAGAGCATAGTGTAGTATAAACACTGCTGTAAGTCAACCTATGTTTTCTTAGTTACGTAACTAAACAAGTGTAATTTAACTCTGACAGCATTAGTATAGGCCAGCTCTCAGGCTCCCCAACTGAATCTGTTCTACTCTGTATCAAGCATTAACACGTCTCTGAAGCAGGGATATTAAAACTCTGGTGTCTCACGCTCTAGGGGAGCACCCTAACCCCTAATCAATACAGTCATTCTCACTCTCTTTGTCTGGCTCAGAGACTATTAATTGTCTTGATGAATGATTACAAATTGCCACTATGCATTTGTCAATGCACTCCTCTGCTTTTGTCAAAATGCCCAGAACTGAAACAAACATTTTGAGTCTGCTCAAAACAAAATGACATTGGAAAAGGTTTTGATATTTTTGGTTTGGTCAAGAAACTATGCGATTAACTCACGCCCAGCCCACTCTGTGAAGTTTTGGGTTGGCCAAAACTGCATTGTTCAGCAATTAGTCATTTGCCAATACAATTAGCACAACTCTACTGCTACTTGAAAAATCCCTCAAAATTCAGTTTGAGTATTTTTCATCAGTTAGTTGTTGCTGAACTCTGTAATTTCATATGTAAAATGGCTATGATGGTGACACCTGGAAAAACTTTACAATTTGAGATCCAGAGACAACAGGAAATATATAAATTACTGTAATTCATTTTTCTGTAATTATGAATTATCTTCAGTGCAAATGTAGAGTACAACCTGCATGTCTCATTGCTATTCATATCTTTATAATGATGTATATATGTTATTCATAAAGTCCTCATCACACTACTGTAAAGTTAACAGTGACAGTATTTTACATGTGGAAAAGCAAGATAAAGATTAAGTAACTTGACCAATTCTATAGATCAAATATGTATCAATTGTAACTCAAGAATTTTAAGGCTCCTCCTCCTGTGTTTAATCCACTAGGCCCACAATGTGGACTGACCATTCTCAGACAAACAAGAGACCATGTTAAGTTTTAAAGTAGTTATAGACTAGTTTAAAATGCTGTGAGAATGTTAACTTAGAAAACAACAAAGTCACAATTCAAGTTTCTGCAAATGTCTTCATCTCGGACTGTATTCTGCCCTAGCACAAAGCAGGGTTTAGAGTGGGTGGCTCATTTAGATTTATGTATTCAGACAACCCTTCTAAAGAATTAAAAAGAAGGCTCTAACTGTTATTCAGTATAACTATTTCAAATGGAGGGTTAATAGACAAAGTGGTTTTAAACATACACAGTTCCAAAAATGATGGAGGACTTTTCCAAAAGCAAATAGCCTCATTTTTCACAGCTTTCATATTTGTAAAACGTCTTGCTCAATTAACTTTAAACTTTGAAAAAATTATTCTCTGACTAGACAACATGCACACACAAAAATTACAGTATAGAGAACTTATTTTTTAGAAAAGAAATTTGTTCCATACCATAATTAACCTGAATTTCACATTCAGATACACAATTGGGAGAACAACAATCTCACCAGACAGCTGCCATTTTTTTAAATGTCTAATTCTTGAACAGAATAACTAAACAAGGCTATTGTTCAAACTGGTTTGTTTAGTTACTGAATGATGCAAACATTCAATATTTAACTGGTGGGATCTTGTCTGTATTACTAAAAAAATAAATACTTCTCAACTAGTTCCCCACCAAAAAAGACAGCATATTCAGCAGTAGCATAGTTACCAGGCCTTTCACAGACACTGCCATTAACTTGGTTGATACATGTTGCTGCCTTCAAGCCCTGCTGGTAAGGCTCAGCTAAATATCCACAAAATCCAGCACCACTCGGTTCCCCAGGCAGCCACTGGAGCGAGGTGTTTGTAAATGGAGACATGTCTTCCCAGCACCAGTACGACACATTGATCTTCCGCAGCCCAACCCACGGGGTCAAAGTTTTGGGCTAGAGATAAAATAAAGGTTCAGTTGAATGAACATCACAATTTTATCACTTCACAGAGTTAGGAAGCAGGGCTTAAAAAAAAATAACATCGTGCAATGTGTACGAACCACTCTACCAGATTTGGAGGAGCAAACATTAATTAAGGGCATATTGTTCGCTCAGTCCCAATGGAGTTACAGAGAGCATGAAATGGATAATTAATTTCTTCAGGCATGTGCCTTATTTATCTCATTTAAAGCACACTCCCTCCTATCTCCCAAACTACTTGATACTTTTTTAAATAGCTAAAAATGGTAAGCACTAGAGAGGAGGCACAACGGATTTAATATATTAAACCTGAACTAAAGATATTAAGAGGTGGATAACTGGCTAATAGTGTGGTCGATACAATTTGTATCGACTACGCGATTAGCTGATAAGGGAAGGCTCGTGCCAGGTCTGGAACCAAACCCCACAGAGGCTCTGCATTTTAAATGTAGTAAAATCAACTACACTTAAAACGCAGAGCTGCAGTGGGGGTAACTACCAGACCTGGCACGAGCCGGGACTGAGCCAGGCTTGCTCAGTCCCAGCTTGTGCTGGGTCCAGCAGCCCCTGTCTGCAGAGGCTGGCCAGGAACAGAGGGGATAGATAGGGCCTGCTCTGCCTGGGCCTGCCATAAGCAGAGGCTTCTTCGTGGCAGCCTCTCCTGCCCCCCGCACTGCTGCCTCTGTTGGGAAGGCAGCACTGCAGAAATGGTGCTGGGGGAACCGGCTTTTAAGCTGGCTCCCCACAGTAACAACTCCTGCTCCTCACCCTCCTTGCTGCCTCTGATAAAGAGGCAGCAAGGGGAGGGGGATGTGAGAAGTCAACATGACTACCCAATAAGCCTAGGCTTATCAGGTAGTCGACTACTCACTCACATCCCTCACCTGAACAATCTGAAATTAACAACAAGAGTTGGCCTGAGATGCTTGTAAGTGTACTGTAAAAGACTAGAAATAAAAACGGTAATTTTCTGGGGTGACTGTTACACAGACTGTAACAGTGGCTTAAATACCAGCTACAAATAGTTTATCTAAACAATGAATGGAAAGTTACTGTTATTGAAAGGCCCCACAAAACTATCCACCTACTTCAAACATTTTACATTCACTTCATTTAACCCTGCAACGCTTACTAGAGCAATGCAGGCTCTCAATGCCTCTGGAAAAAAAAACAAGCCATGTTCTTGTTGAGGAACTACAAATGAACAGATAAGCTGTGGTCACTCAACTCTTAATGAGCAAGCACACGCTCTCAGTAGGTCATTGTCCGAATCTAACCAGCACATCACTGAAAGGCAGAGTTCAAATACCAGGTGCAGTAAGACTTTGTACCACAGCTATTTTTAGAAAATAGAAAAACTTGCTAAAACATACAAATATCAACTAAAACCAAAAGATTTCTCAAGGATCTGCATGGCTTTAAGTTCTTCGCCATTATCAACTCTCTAAGCGATAAAATAACCAGGGGTAAGTGAATGACATCCTTTCTAGAAAAAGCCCAAGTGTTATTAGAGAGTTTATGGGAATAGCCATCAAATGTATTTCTTTATACAGTACTCATCACCATGGTATCTAAAAGCCTGGAGTTTTGAAAATCATGTACTTTAGAGTATTCTATGTTTTTCTCCCTTGCCTCGCAAATGATTTTTTAATGTGTAATCTTGTTTGAAAGTACCTCATACAAAGTTAATAAAAATGGAGCACCCCAGTGTCTTATAACTAACTGTTAGAGTGTTTCATTTTAAGATTCAGGAGGGAGCAAAAGTGGAAAGAAGGAAAACTTCCTAATTCCAATTTAACAATTCCATTTTCTCTTTAGATATTTGTATTCTGTATATAAAGTATGTTTCTAATCTGAAAAACAATATATGATAATGTGCCACGTTTATGGCTTCATTTCTTTCTGTTTAGCATTTTTCAGTTTTCCAATAAAACAATTCATGTCACTGACTACTAGCCTGCACTGAGAGCATGGATAAGTTCTACTCCTGCATCATCAAAAAAAAGGGCTCTTCCAGTTAAATTAGGACCTCAGTTACATCCATACACCACTACTACTGTTACAACCTTAGCAATACTTACACAGCCTATGATCCATGTGTTTGTACAAGCGTAAATGATCAGGGGGAAAGAAATCAATTCTATTGATATACAAGTAGTAATAGATTCCGTATAATTGTTCTTGTTTGTGTTGGCTCTGTAAGGTTAACTGGGAAAAATACTTGCCACTAGAGAAGACATAACAGAATATTTCACGGGAGCCTGCTGGCGTATAAGACACTTTTCAGAACAGAACAATTTAAACGCTTTGCACTAAGTATCTATGTTGCCCCATGGAACCTTGATTTACAGTCTTGGCTGCCCACATACAGTTTACATGAGAACTACATACAGACATGCTGCAGTCACGTATCCCAGATCAGAAGTGTGTATGTGATTTCATTATGCAAAGATACCCTCGAGGTACCATGTCTATATTAGGAATGTAAAAATGTGCTTAATAATGTAACCGTGTAGCTGCTAAAAATCATGGCAATTACACAGGCTGCAGGCTCTGCAGCACAAAGCAGCAGCAGCGAAGCTGCTTCCCCGAGAGCGGGGTCGGCAAGGGCCACCGGTCATGCTCCCAAGGAGGTTTCGCTGCGAGCTCTACAGCCTGCTCCTGGGGAGCCAGCATCTAACCTGCAGCAGGGGGAGAGGGAAAGCTGGCTGGGATCACCAGAGACAGGGGCTGCCCCGGTGGGCCCTGTGGGGCTGAAGCAGGGCAGGTGAGGAGTTGCTCCAGCCCCAACCATCCAACCAGAACCAATAAGCCTCACCTGTTAATGGTGAGGCTTCCCGGTTAACCCTTTAAATTCCTAGTTTATATTTATCTTACACATTTACTTTCTCTACTATTTGACTACAAAGGTGCCATGGAAGAGGTGGAATTTCAAGAGAGAAAAAAATCAGTCCCCTGGGTTATACATTTATCTTGGTACAAAAGACAGTACCCACAAGCACTGCCCCTATTCAAAGCTCTAATACCCACGTGTTACGAAAGAGTAACACTCACCACAGACTGCATCTTCTGCAGCTCCTTTAGAACAAATTCCACCTTCTTCTGGGTCGTGAGGGATGCCAGTAGAGCATTGGCATTTCTGCAGGTCAATTTAGCATTGTCATAGCTCTCTTTTGTGCTAGCGATTTTCAAACATGAGTTGCCAACCAAATGCCAGTTTGCTCCACAGATATTTTCTATGAAAAAGCGAAACAAATTAATGACACAAAACCCATCAGTTTAAGGTGGTGAAAGTATTCTCCAGGAGAGGCCCTCAGCATTGGAACCTATTCCGTTAGACCGAAAGAGTTTGGTTCACTAACTTTCCTGCCATGCTAAAAGGCACATCTTTTAACAAAGGCTTTTATAGAAGCAGTAACTTGATGAGAACAGATCTTTCAGCAGAAATGGAGTTTTGCTTGGGGTATGCAGAGTAGCTACTTGTTTTTGTTGGATATTTGTCTCTCATTTATGTCAAAGGCACCTTTTTAAGATTTTTGTCAACTGAAAGAAATTTCAGTTGACAAAACTATTGAATATCCAACTTCTAAATTCTAGTAGTTTGCCCCTATCCTCTGGAACAGTCAAAACATAGGTAGGATGCTGTATTGCCAATCCTAAGAATTAAATTTTTAGTTAGATTCTCTACCCTCAATTATGAAATGAGCTTTAAAATGATTAAATAAAAAATGAATGCATTTTAGATTCTTTTATCTGCCTTCAGGTCCTTGAATTTTTAGAGTGCATTTAGATTATGGTTTCAAGCTCTTCTGCGTAATTATGTGGCCCAGAAATGTTTGTTTTTTCTTTAAATAAAAGCTTTGCTTCTCACATGACTTCAGGTGCTTAGGGCTAAAGAAAAGTGCCAAAATTTGAGAAAGGCAGAATGAAATTATGAAGGCTGGCAATTTTGGAGGTGGGAGGGAAGAAACATTTCTCTGTCAGATTTTTGGATAAATAAAGTATTAATCTGAGGCAGTATACTCAGTGCTCTACTTCAGGGATGGGGAACCTAAGGTCTAGGGGACAGATGCAGTCCCCGGCTTGCCTGGATCTCGCCCCTAGAGCTCAGGGTTCCACAACTCCCCGGGACAGATGCAGTCCCCGACTTGCCTGGATCTCGCCCCTGGAGCTCAGGGTTCCACAACTCCCCACCCCCAGTTTTGGGGAGCCCGCACTAGCACTGCAGCTCCTGCTGTCCCTCGCCCTGACTGATTTTTCTGTAGGTCACCAGCCCCGAGCCCAAAAAAGATTCTTCACCCCTGCTCTACTTCATCTAGCTGTGGGAATATTCAGGATATAGAAGTACTAGAAAAAAATAATCAATTATTTTATAACATCCTCTTGTTTCCCAAATGAATTAATACGGTACCAATCTCACATGAGACAACAGATGAAGAGAAAGTACAGTTTGTGATAAATGACAGAGATGCAGCCATGTTAGCCTGGTCTAGCTGAAACAAAAGACATGACCATGCAGCACTTTAATTTGTGGAAGATCTGAGGAAGTGGGTCTGGCCCACGAAAGCTCATCGCCCAATAAACCATCTTGTTAGTCTTTAAAGTGCCGCATAGTCCTGTCTTTTGTGATAAATGAATTAGCCTTAATTAAAATTGGGTCTTATTAAGATATAAAAAAATCTTTTGAAACAATTGTGTAAATAAAGAATAGACAAAAGAAGGAGAAAAGCACATCTGAATAAAAAAAAATCTTTTGAAACAATTGTGTAAACAAAAGAAGGAGAAAAGCACGTCTGAAGCATTTTGCTGGGAGCTTAAGGACAAACTCTTCATCCACTATAACAATATTATTTGGACTGCCAATTAATAGCAGTTAATGCATGTGACTCATGCAAAACAACTTAACTAGATTTAAAAATTGTCATGATTGGCTCCAGGTTAATAGCACTGTTAAACAATAATAAAATAACTATTTAAATTTATTGTAAATATTTTAAATGTTGTTATACAATTCCAAATATACTAATTTCAAATACAGCACAGAATATAAAGTAGTGTTCACGTCAAATGTTGTTATACAATTCCAAATATACTACTTTCAAATACAGCCCAGAATATAAAGTAATGTTCACGTCCTACTATTATTTTTAATTATAAATATTTTCCCCGTCAAAAAGGTGAACAAAACCTCATACAAGCCCATTCAATCTTACAGCTTTTTCAGTCAATCACTAAAACAAACTTTGTTTACATATATGGAGGGTAATGGTGCCTCCTTCTTATTTACATCACCCAAAATAAGAACAGGCATTCACCTGGTACAGTTGTAGCTGGTGTTGCAAAGTATTTACATGACTGATACACTGAACTTTCATACAGCCCCTCATACTCTGACTTCTAAGCTCTATAGTTTTAAAATGTCTTGGTTTTGAGAGCAGTTACATAAAAAACCTGTATTTGTAAGTTGAGGTTTCACAATAAACAAAATGCACTACATTTATACACAGTGAATTGAAAAATACTATTTCCTTTATTTATCTTTTTACAGTGCAAATATTTGTAGTCAGATATAATATAAAATGAGCACTGTGAACTTACTGAAATCAATAGATTTGAAAATTTAGAAAAATATTCAAAAAATAGTAATGATTAAGTTAGTATTTTATGATTAACCATGTGATTAAAACTCATTAATTGCAATTGTTTGAAATAATTTGATGGCACTAATTACTACCTATAATATTATTAATAAGCTTTAATACCTACACCAGAAATGCCAATATAAGATTTCAATTAGATTTCAAAGAAAATCTCACGTAACATTAAGTCACACATTACATTAGTTACTCCTTATGGAAAACAGCCCTTAACGCACCCTAAACATCATACCATAGATTTTGAGGAGGAAAAACAAAGAATGCTTTGGAATTTAGGGATTATTTGTTTTTCGACACAAAGCATACATACCAGGTAACGCTATGCATTCTTGATTCCTGGGCTCCCACTGACAATTCTGATCCATGGCACAGCTTTTACAACTTGTCCTTTTGTTACAATAATATGCAGGGTTATCCTTGGGGCATTTGTCATATTCAATAATTGGCACCTAAAAAACGCATAGCATGTTTAAGATTTTTTTTTCTTAAGATGTCTGTTCCCACTCACATGACCCATCAATATAATTCTGTACTGGAGGTAATAAATTAAGTCTAGTGAAGGACGAATATTTTCCAAGGATGTATCATGTTCAGAATTCCTTCCCCAAACTAACATGCTAACTCACTTCCCTCACCATGCCCAAGTCTCTCTTGAAGACTCAGTTTGCCACTTGGCTTATAAGATGTGAGGAGGGAAACAAGGGTTTTTTTGACCTTATGAATGAATTATGAAGACGTGCACATGCCTTACCAAGTAATCATACAATTTTATTACTACTGCCCTCGTCTTTCCTTGTCCCTTCCCTCCTTCAGATTCAAGCAATTGAGATGTTTGTTGTTACAGTTACTTACACAGCAGAGAAACACATACACAGAAGTAATTGTGAGACACAGTTTTCTGGACATTTGAAACATCATAGCAAGATTAACATTTTTAGAAGGCTATTTAAACATTTACCTGATCTTCTGTGCAATTGCTATGCTTTAAGATACACTGGTCAGTGCACCATTGACAACTATTTGTATTTGCTGTACAGCTATAACAGTCTGTAATCTGACGGCATTTTTCATCGTCTGCAAGTAAAAACAAAAAACCTGTATGACCAAAAAGCAGTTCCCAAGAAGCAGTTTACACACACAGTATAACCAAGGACTTCACCTACAGATTTCCCAAGACAGCTATCAGTTAAGCTGTACTTCCTATTTATAACTTACATTTAAATGGAGCAGAAAGAAATTCCATTAATTTCTTATGTCAATTATAAATCATTTTCAAGGAAGTGAACTTGCAATTAAATGCGGGAAGAGACACAAATGTTGATATTGCCTACACAAACCCAAGATATGTACATGCAAATGACAAATGGACATCTAACAGAGTAATTTAGGTGTATAAATACAGACACATTTATCTAAAATCCTGGCTCTCAACTGGGAATTTCATATGAAGTTTAATTCTTCCATGTAATCTTTTTCCTCATATATCTCCTCTGCTTATTCAGTTGGTTTATAACATTGAAGATCCCAAATTCTTGTCCCTTTATATCAACCATTTTCACACAATTAAAGGATACAACATATACAGAGGCATGTTTCAGAAAAACCAGCTCTGGGGGCTAGCGGAGCACCGACATACTCCTGGAGTTGATAGCAGTTAGGCAATTTAATGCAAGGAACCCAAAATTAAAAGTAGTTCCAAAACATTGCTTAGAGACCAGTAACTGTATGAGCCCCTCTCCATACTTTAGTTGAAAAAGTTATAGCAACGATCATCAGATAATACCACTTCTGGTGCTGAGCTGACAGCATGGCCCTGTCCCCTCTTTCCCAAACATGACTGTCACCAGAACTAGTGACAAATCTCAGTCACTTTCTATAGAACAAGAGAGCAACAACAGTCTGAGTTGGGTAGGTGTTATAAGGAGAAAAATGAATGTTAACTATCCACTCCCAAACCGCCAAGCAATCATTTCAGCAGCAGTCTGTGGCCCTCAATCCACTTCTACCACTTCATTGGGAAACTGCTCAGTTTTTATTCACAGTTTCAGTCACACGCTCATAGTAAAGCGCACGAAGCCGTTTATTAAAAGTCTACTTGTGCATCTCCTGCACAGCGTATGTTGCAATAGATTGCTAATGCACACCCTGTTGTCAAATACTGCTAGACAACACACATATTGAACACATTCCAATTATTTTGGGGATCACAGGGAGCCAACTCCTGGATTTTCACTCGTTCATCCTTTTGCTAACTTTTGGAATGCTGAAAACGTCCAAGAAATAACCTGAGGTTTATAACTGCAGTAGTGAAAAGACCTGGCATACCAAACAGCGTAGGCACAGCTGACTTGTTCCTGATTACATCTGAAATGCATATCTGACTGGCTGTTCAGCACCAGAAATGCCAATATAAGATTTCAATTAGATTTCAAAGAAAATCTCACGTAACATTAAGTCACACATTACATTAGTTACTCCTTATGGAAAACAGCCCCTTAACGCACCCTAAACATCATACCATAGATTTTGAGAAGGAAAAACAAAGAATGCTTTGGAATTTAGGGATTGAGTAATTTGTTTTTCGACACAAAGCATACATACCAGGTAACGCTATGCATTCTTGATTCCTGGGCTCCCACTGACAATTCTGATCCATGGCACAGCTTTTACAACTTGTCCTTTTGTTACAATAATATGCAGGGTTATCCTTGGGGCATTTGTCATATTCAATAATTGGCACCTAAAAAACGCATAGCATGTTTAAGATTTTTTTTTCTTAAGATGTCTGTTCCCACTCACATGACCCATCAATATAATTCTGTACTGGAGGTAATAAATTAAGTCTAGTGAAGGACGAATATTTTCCAAGGATGTATCATGTTCAGAATTCCTTCCCCAAACTAACATGCTAACTCACTTCCCTCACCATGCCCAAGTCTCTCTTGAAGACTCAGTTTGCCACTTGGCTTATAAGATGTGAGGAGGGAAACAAGGGTTTTTTTGACCTTATGAATGAATTATGAAGACGTGCATATGCCTTACCAAGTAATCATACAATTTTATTACTACTGCCCTCGTCTTTCCTTGTCCCTTCCCTCCTTCAGATTCAAGCAATTGAGATGTTTGTTGTTACAGTTACTTACACAGCAGAGAAACACATACACAGAAGTAATTGTGAGACACAGTTTTCTGGACATTTGAAACATCATAGCAAGATTAACATTTTTAGAAGGCTATTTAAACATTTACCTGATCTTCTGTGCAATTGCTATGCTTTAAGATACACTGGTCAGTGCACCATTGACAACTATTTGTATTTGCTGTACAGCTATAACAGTCTGTAATCTGACGGCATTTTTCATCGTCTGCAAGTAAAAACAAAAAACCTGTATGACCAAAAAGCAGTTCCCAAGAAGCAGTTTACACACACAGTATAACCAAGGACTTCACCTACAGATTTCCCAAGACAGCTATCAGTTAAGCTGTACTTCCTATTTATAACTTACATTTAAATGGAGCAGAAAGAAATTCCATTAATTTCTTATGTCAATTATAAATCATTTTCAAGGAAGTGAACTTGCAATTAAATGCGGGAAGAGACACAAATGTTGATATTGCCTACACAAACCCAAGATATGTACATGCAAATGACAAATGGACATCTAACAGAGTAATTTAGGTGTATAAATACAGACACATTTATCTAAAATCCTGGCTCTCAACTGGGAATTTCATATGAAGTTTAATTCTTCCATGTAATCTTTTTCCTCATATATCTCCTCTGCTTATTCAGTTGGTTTATAACATTGAAGATCCCAAATTCTTGTCCCTTTATATCAACCATTTTCACACAATTAAAGGATACAACATATACAGAGGCATGTTTCAGAAAAACCAGCTCTGGGGGCTAGCGGAGCACCGACATACTCCTGGAGTTGATAGCAGTTAGGCAATTTAATGCAAGGAACCCAAAATTAAAAGTAGTTCCAAAACATTGCTTAGAGACCAGTAACTGTATGAGCCCCTCTCCATACTTTAGTTGAAAAAGTTATAGCAACGATCATCAGATAATACCACTTCTGGTGCTGAGCTGACAGCATGGCCCTGTCCCCTCTTTCCCAAACATGACTGTCACCAGAACTAGTGACAAATCTCAGTCACTTTCTATAGAACAAGAGAGCAACAACAGTCTGAGTTGGGTAGGTGTTATAAGGAGAAAAATGAATGTTAACTATCCACTCCCAAACCGCCAAGCAATCATTTCAGCAGCAGTCTGTGGCCCTCAATCCACTTCTACCACTTCATTGTCAGCAGCAGTCTGTGGCCCTCAATCCACTTCATTGTAGCATTTCATTTGGAAACTGCTCAGTTTTTATTCACAGTTTCAGTCACACGCTCATAGTAAAGCGCACGAAGCCGTTTATTAAAAGTCTACTTGTGCATCTCCTGCACAGCGTATGTTGCAATAGATTGCTAATGCACACCCTGTTGTCAAATACTGCTAGACAACACACATATTGAACACATTCCAATTATTTTGGGGATCACAGGGAGCCAACTCCTGGATTTTCACTCGTTCATCCTTTTGCTAACTTTTGGAATGCTGAAAACGTCCAAGAAATAACCTGAGGTTTATAACTGCAGTAGTGAAAAGACCTGGCATACCAAACAGCGTAGGCACAGCTGACTTGTTCCTGATTACATCTGAAATGCATATCTGACTGGCTGTTCAGCAAACAATGTAATGGACAAAAATGTGAGGAGCAAAAGAACATTTGAATACAGAATGGCAAGAAAAAAGCCGAAGTCTAGTTTCTCTATGCTTGTATACCACATTCATCACCACAATATCTGAGAACCTTCCAACATTGCTCTTACCTACATAATGTTACACGTGTCACGTTTGTTCTTTCCTCCTCTCCTCAGATGGAGAAGCATGTGCAGTAGAGGGTCATGTTTTGGTGGTAGTACAGCTTGCTAATGCAAATACACTTTTTGATGTGTGACTTACATACCTGGCTTAGACGGACATTCTTCAAAAACTTTTTGTTGTTGCTCTACTGTTGCTGCTTCCCATGGGACACACTGAGAAAAGGTGGTGTTCCACACACACCTGATTCCGGGACCTGCTTTGAAACAAGACGTCTCATTGCCATAAGCTTCACAGCTTTCTGGTGTATACCTCAGGATATCGCTCAGGAGGAGACTGTTGAAACCTCCAAATACATACATAGTGCTAAACATAAATAAGGAAATGGAAGTAAATTATATGTTCATATCTATATGTACAGACAATATATTGCATTTCAGTTATACAGCTCTTGATAACTATACAGAGCACCTACAGAATACGTATGTATAAACCCAAGTAAATAAATAGATGTTGGTTAAGGAACATATTAAGCAGAATCATGTCTCAGATTTCTATTAGTTCTGTGAATCTCAACCCATGACTTCTGCGCAATCAACTGCATCTCTCACTCCTCAGTCTGGCATCATAGAACAACCTTTCTCCCATACAACAAGATCCCTGAAGCTGCCTGAATTCAGCATACGTATTAAGGAGGGGAAAAGCAGGAAAATTATCCTTCGCCCCTCAGCAGCAAGAAAGATCGGGGGGAAAAGGGGAGGAAGACAGATAAAGTTACCAATGAACCAATACATGAGAATGTGTCACAACACCACAATGTCATCACAAAGATCAACATTACGCTGGGTCTCTTTGCAAACAGTCAATGAATCAGTCTGTCAACTGACAAACAAAATGCTGTTATAGCTAGAGAATTTACTTTTCCAAGCTTCTGAGCTCAAGGATCACACATCTGTGTTTTAGGCACAATACCACCAATAAATATTACTGCTATTTACACACCTGAACACACTGTTTTTTTAATAATGACTAGTTACTGCAGAATGTGAAAACTAATGGAACGGAGTAGAAATTTGGTTGGCAAAAGTTCTCTCCCTTTCCCCCCATCCTATAGTTATTTTTGGTACCAATTAAGTAAAAAAAAACCACCCATCCTATAGTTATTTTTGGTACCAATTAAGTAAAAAAAAAAAACATACATACTTAAATGCAATCCACAAAAGCCATTGCATTAAACTGATTTAATATACTGTGGAGTTGCTAAATATTTTGTGTGAGCTTTTCAAAGCACAAAGGGCAGCTAAAAGCTTTCCTCCTTGAAAGTTAGTGGGAATTACATGCCTAAAATAATCTTGACCTTCTCATGTGTTTGAGAGGCATATCCCCAGAAACAGGTGCTTGAACCAAAACCAGAGACTTTTTGGCAAATTTATTCCAATTAAGGTTCACTCAAATTCTGTGCCACAGATCTGAAGGTTATAAAAAACAAAGCACATATTCCTTCAAAACATGGATATTATTTCAGTAAATGTCGCCAGCAAAATGGCATAGATCCCAACTGTATTTGTGCCTAAACAGCATATATTCTGTGGGTGGCAAGGAAAAAAGAGGCCCAACAAGAGGAAGACTGCAAGCAAGCAAGCAAGCCAGGGTGACCAAGATGTGGACAGAGGTCTTATAAGCAGGAGCAGTGAAGAAAGAGTACATTTTTGGAGTGATTAATACTAATAAAAACAGAGATGATAATGGAGATTGAGAAGGAAAGAGAAAGAAATATTTGGAGGGAAGATGAAAAATTCAATTTTGGACTGATTAATTTCTGGAGATGAGATGGCGACACTGGCTAGGTGAGCTGGAGAAGAGAATGAGTCAGGGTAGCTAACAATCAGAAACTGGATGGAGTCAAGAAGTTATAGGTTGGAAACCATCAGCTACACGGAGATGCCAGTTGAAACCATGAGAGGAAGTAAGGTCACAGAACTTCAATTTGGTTTCCAGTTGCGTTCTCAGTGACCTTATACACCCATACATAAATATCTGTATATGGGCTTACTTGAGTACACATTACGCAGACACAAAGCAAGATTTTTTATTTTTTTTATTTTTTTTGTCTTCTGACCTGTTACTCAGCACAGCAGAATGTCCAAATCTGTTGACATCATGATGGAGATCAGGTCGAGGAAGTACTGACCATTGATCACAAGCTAGGATTAAGGAAAGCTCACTTCAGAAAAGTTCCTCTAGCATAATTAATAACTGACATTTATGTAGCACATTTTTTCTGAAAGATCCCAATGTACTTCAGTAACTGCACAGAAACCATTTCACCTCTCCCCAAAATGCAACTACCCCCACAGCAGAGTGTGGCAGCTGTTAAAGAGCACAAAGCACCATCCATCAATGTTCCCTTTAATATTTTCCATTCGTGTGCAGAATAAATATTGTCATATGCATCAAAGCATGTGCAGATGTGCACCACCAGTAGAAACACACGCTACTGGGTCTGGACACTCTGCTAATCAGCTGGGAAGCATCTGAATCCCTTCTGGGTTAATCAGCTGGGCAGCATCTGAATCCCTTCTGGGCGACGACCCAAGCACTCAGCTTACAGGGAACACAGGCACCCTTTACACAACATCTTAAGACAAAATTAACTCTCTATCCATTTGAAACTATCTTAGGGCCAGGTACAACCTGACCCTTACATGGGTCTCGGCAGGGCAGGAGTGCAATGTGCCTTCCCTAAAGCGTCATGCATGTTGTGTCCTGTCCTCATGCAACAACATTCCCTGTGCTTCCAGATGCCTTCCCTAAAGCGTCATGCATGTTGCATGAGGACAGGACACAAAAACATTCCCTGTGCTTCCAGGAGTTAAGGAACTGCTCTTCTCCTTTCTCTCCCATGGGGTCCCCAAACAGGAGGAGATGTTATGCAATGGGTCTTCCCAACTTCTGCCCCCATCCACGTGAAGGGAAAGTAAAACTGTACATCTGAAGAGCTAGCTGCTTCTGCTGGCCTTACTTTGAGAGAACTCAGCAGAATAACCTTCAAGGACTTTGGGGAAATTATGGGTAATGGTTTGGGGTTTGTTTTAATGACTGGAAATTATGACTGAACAATGGGCGTACTTTTTACCAGTTTATATGTGAACATGCTCAATTTTGCCCTGCTCTGACATAATATGGAGCATGGACCGAGATATAATAATTATTTTTGTACTTATGTGACTTGATAGTTGCCTTGCATAGTTGTTTTGATTCACATTTTTTAACTAGCATTCGATAATTCTATCATTTTCTGTTAATGCAACATTTAGGAGAGCTGTTCCTTACTTATTTGGGTTTCTCATGTAATTTCTTTCTTTAAGTACTATGCAGAAATCACATCAAACTCAGACTCCACTAATCAATCAAAAGAACAGCAGCAGAAAAAGTCTGCTAAATTGAAATGTGGTATGTTAGGCCAAGCCAAAGGGAATGCCCCAGAAGCTTATGTCCACATGATGGCACACTTTTTACTCTGCTGGTGTAGGGAGAGTCTCTTTCATGGTCCCTCTTCCTCAGCATCAGAAGACAAAGACACGGACGTTTGTTAACTGATCTACAAGTAGTTAACATCTTTCATAAGACTGAGAAACTGAAAATCTCTATCCCATTAATAGAGTGAAGTCAGTATATCATTAAGGAAGAAAATCGAAACAGCTCCAGAAAGTTGCCTGCTTGCCTGGCTCAGTCCCTGCTCGCACAGGGTCAGGGACCAAACCCCACCGCAGCTCTGCAATTTAAAAGGCAGTAGGAGCAGGGGCAGGGGAGGCAGAGGGGCTGCCTTTTAAATTGCAGAGCCACAGCGGGGTTTGGTCCTGGTGCAAGCCAGGACTGAGCGGGGCTGCCTGCCCAGCCAGCAGCAGCCTCTGACCATCAGAGGTCCCAGCTCCTCGCTGGGACCCCCACAGACAGGAGCTGCTGTCCACAAAGCAGCCCTTGTCTGTGGGGCAACCCAACTTCCTGCTGGGACCTCTGCAACCAGGAGCTGCTGCCATAGCAGCCTCCCCTGCCCCCTTCCCTTGCTGCCTCTGACAGGGGCAGCAGGGCAAGACAGAGACTGTACTGGGGGGAACCGGCTTTTAAGACAGCTTCTGCCAGTACCAGCTGCTGTTCCCCCCCACCCCTACTGCCTCTGATATAGAGGCAGCAATGGGGGTGGGAGGGGAAGAGGAATGTGTGTAGTTCACTGGACTACTCTCTTACATCCCTAGTCTCTAATGGCTGCATTTAATTATCTAGCAAATGGTTATTTTAAAATGGATTTTTTTAAGTTATCTACTCAATTATTATAATATGTAACCTTTCCTGATGTCATTCATAAAACTAGCACACACAGTTCAAGTTTGTAGTGGAAGACTTTAGCAGAATTGGAGCATAATTTGCAATTTCATATCCAACCATCTGTGAGTTATAAGGGGCCAAAAATATATTTTTCTAGATTATTAGTGGGCTTGGAATGTTTTGCTTTCTGTGCTCTTCTCCCTACCTTTATCAAAACATCAAATATCGGAAGAAACTAATGGTTTAGAAATTACCAAGAATTATCTCATACCAACCTTAGATTTACAGTCTATTGATTATCCAAAGAGAACATATGTGCTGTCAAAATATACAATTACTGAGTAAAATTGTATAACTTGAATTTGACTGGGCAAACAGAGATTTTTCTTCTCTTTTTGGAGATGGAGTAAGTGTACCCATGGTCTTACTGCTCATTATTTTTATGCTGACCTTTTAAAGTAAGAAAACTTTAAACACTTGCTTCAGCCAAAAAGTTAAAATTGAGAATATTAACCCTGTTGCAGGGAATCAGGATGGATTTCAGGAGGAGAGATCTATCTTCTACTGTATTTAATATCTAAGGGTTTATCTACACTGCGGTTAAAAACCCACAGCTGGCCTGAGCCAGCTGACTCAGGTTCATAGGACTGGGGCTAAGGGGTTGTTGAGCTGCAATGCAGACATTTGGGCTGTAGCTCTGCAATCTTCCCACTTTGCAGGGTCCTAGAGCCCAGGTTACAGCCTGCCTTCTCCCCCCTCCTCCTTAGCCCAAGCCAATTGACACAGGCCAGGTATAGATTTTTAATTGCAGTGTAGACATATCCTACCATACTGCAATTTGCGTTCTGTATAGCACTTTCTCTTCAAATTTCAGTTATCTGAATATACATGTACTCTCTCTTGCTAAATCATTTCACCTATTTCTATTTAACAGTTTCTGGACTATGCATCTGCAAATAAATGCTGCCCTCTAGTGGCTACACAAAACCACCAATGTCTCCTTCAAAATAAAACCCATTCATTTGGCTTGGTTACTCCATCGGACTTCGAGACATTTGGAGTAATATCAGCAGTAACAGTTCTCATACACCAAACTCTGACTCCACTAATCAATCAAAAGAACATTCATCAACTAACAGATCTTGATATGATGCTTTATTTTCAGGAAACCCTGCTCCCAGACCTAAATTCAAATAATTAGAGACTAGTCTCAGACGTAGCAGTGTTAGTCTGTATCTGCATAAACAATGAGGAGTCCAGTGGCATCTTAAAGATGAACAGATTTATTTGGACATAAGCTTTCGAGGGTAAAGGGCACTTCATCAGATGCATCGGATCAAGTGGAATTTGGACATAAGCTTTCGAGGGTAAAGGGCACTTCATCAGATGCATCAGATCAAGTGGATTTTATCCATGAAAGCCGATGCCCAAATAAATCTGTTCATCTTTAAGGTGCCACAAGACTCCTCGCTGTTTTAACTATAGAATGCCGAAACACTTTACAAAATAAGATAACTTATTCTGAACCACATATCTCCTATCTTTAAATATTCAAAGTAGTATGAGCGTTGTGTATGAGCGTTGTTACTGATGATATAACTGCTGTTGCACCTGCCCTACCAGAATCCAGTTCATTTTTTTTAAATGTGTAGTACGCGAAGTTAAGTCTGTCTTTCCTGCTTCTGCAATCTCAAAAGAACACAAGAACGTCCATAAAGGATCAGACCAAAGGTCCATCTAGCCCAGTGTCCTGTCTTCTGACAATGGCCAATGCCAGATGCCCCAGAGGGAATGAACAGAACAAGGAATCATCAAGTGATCCCTCCCATCGGCCATTCCCAGCCTCCGACAGAAGCCAGGGACACCATTCCAACCCATCCTTGCTAATAGCCATTGAGGGACCTAACTTCTATTAATTTATCTAGTTCTTTCTTGAGCCCTGTTAGAATCCTGATCTTCACAACCTCCCCTAGCAACATATTCCACAGGCCAATCATGCACTGTGAGAAGAAAAACTTCATTTTGTTTGTTTTAAACCTGCTGCTTATTAATTTCATTCTGTGACTGCTACTTTTTATGTTATGGGAAAAAGTAAATAACTTTTCCTTATTCGCTCTTTCCGCACCAGTCATGATTTTAAACCCCTTCCCTTAGTTTCCTCTCTTCTAAGCTGAAAAGTCCAAGTCTTTTTAATCTCTTTCCGTTCAAGCCCCTAATCATTTTTGTTGCTCTTTTCTGAACTTTTTCCAATGCCAATATATCTTTTTTGAGATGAGGCGACCACCTCTGTACGCAATATTCAAAAAGTTGGCATACCACGGATTTTACATAGAGGCAATAAGATATTCTCGGTCTTATTCTCTATGGGTACGTCTAAACTACATGCCTCCGTCAACGGAGGCATGTAGATTAGACAGATCGGCAGAGGGAAATGAAGCCGCGATTAAAATAATCGCGGCTTCATTTAAATTTAAATGGCTGCCCTGCTCTGCCGATCGGCAGAGGAAAATGAAGCCGCGATTAAAATAATCGCGGCTTCATTTAAATTTAAATGGCTGCCCCGCTCTGCCGATCAGCTGTTTGTCGGAAGATCGGGGCAGTCTGGACGCGCCGCGTCGACAAAGAAGCCTTTCTTGATCGGCACAGGTATGCCTCGTGAAACCAGGTTTACCTGTGCCGATCAAGAAAGGCTTCTTTGTCGACGCGGCGCGTCCAGACTGCCCCGATCTGCCGACAAACAGCTGATCGGCAGAGCGGGGCAGCCCTTTAAATTTAAATGAAGCCGCGATTATTTTAATCGCGGCTTCATTTCCCTCTGTCGATCTGTCTAATCTACATGCCTCCGTCGACGGAGACATGTAGTCTAGACACACCCTATCTCTTTTTTAATAATTCCCAACATTCTGTTTACTTTTTTGACTGCCATTGCACATTGAGGGGATGTTTTCAGAGAACTATCCACAATAACGCCAAGATTTCTCTCTGAACTATCCACAATAACGCCAAGATCTCTCTCTGGAGTAGTCATAGCTGAATTAGTCCTCATCATATTGTACGATTAGTTGTGATTACTTTTTCCATTGTGCATTACTTTACATTTGTCAACATTAAATTTCATTTGCTATTTTGCTGGCCAATCACTGTTCTTACAGCAGTGTTTATCACATACAAAGCATGTAAATTAATCCTTTAAAAGGCATTTTTGTCTTTGCATCTCCAGGAAAAAGTTTGGATGTGGGAACTTACCAATATCATATGCCATAAAGTCTGAAGAGAAGCACTTAGCGCCATGGCTCATTGAGGTGTCATTGTGTGTATTTCCTCCGAATACCAGCATGGTTCCGCTCATTATCACAGCGGTGTGCAAGTAGCGGAAAAATCTGCTGTCTTTAAGAATTGTCCTTCAGAAATGAAAACAGATGAAGATTTTTTTTTAAACTAACAACCACCCGACAAAGTGATTTCCAAACTTACTTTGGGAAGAGATTTGTAGTGGAAATCCATTTAATTATTTTTGTCGCATAATATGCAATGGCCTTTTTTTTCCCCTCCAGTTTGCTCCTTCCTACCTATAATTTGATTTCCTCTTCTCAACTGCCTCCCTGCTTCTTGGGCCACATTCATTCAGTGGCATTCCATTGAAATATCTTGTCCTGAACAAGGATGTAATATTACATCCATCTGCCACCTCCAATCCTCACCAAAAAATGAGGTTTAGTGTATGCCCAGCAACAGCTGTAGACCCAAGAAACTACCTGGGACAATTCACGGATATCCTAGGTCAAATGACTCCAACTTCTGAACTAGTAATATAGATCTGCAGATTAATCCATGCAAAACTGGATGACGCATGCATGAGTAAATCACTCACAGCCTTAATTATATTAGCCACTGACCTTGCATCATATAAGCATGATTAAGAGTACAAGCAGTCCCCGAGTTACGCGGATCTGACTGATGTCGGATCCGTACTTACGAATGGGGCTTTTCTCGCCCCAGAGGATGCAGGCGGCGGGACCGCCCAGACGCGCCGTGGTCCCACCGCCCGCATCCTCCAGGGCGAGAAAAGCTGCTCCGCATCTCCCTGGTCTGCTGCACCTCTCGGTCCTGCCGCCCGCGTCTCCATGGTCTGCTGGGGGTGGGGGGATGCAGCGAGGCCTCCATGGAAGCAGGACCACCAGCAGACCAGGGCCCCCAGCAGACAAGGGAGACGCGGAGCAAAGCCGTGGAGGACCCAGGCGGCGGGACAGCGGCACGTCTGGGCAGTCCCGCTGCCCGCATCCTCTGCGGCTTTGCAGACCAGGAAGACGCGGAGCAAAGCTGCAGAGGACCAGGGCGGGGCAGAGAAACGCTGCCTTGGGCTTCCTGTAGTCAGCTGCTGGTCAGTTTCAGCAGCGGTTGAATCTGGACGCCAGTTCCGACTTAAGTACAAATTCAACTTAAGTACAAACCTACAGTCCCTATCTTGTACGTAACCCGGGGACTGCCTGTACTGAGAACTAAACAGAGCACCTTTTACATAATTTCCCCCTTGTTTTGAGAGATTAAGGACGTGAAAGGTTTGGGACAGAATGCACAGCTGACTGAGTATCAGTTTCCTGGCTGTGCGGATTCATGCCACCAGAACCAAAAAGCTATAGCTGGGATGCTGATGGACATCAACAACTGTTCCAGGAGGGAGGTTGGAATACATAAGCCTGTTGTGCAAAGAGCCAAAGGCATTGGTGGGCGGGGATGGGGGTGGGGGGCGTGCAGAGGATGCGGCTTTAAGTACCATTCACCTTGAAGGGAAATACTAAGAATAAATGGGCTGTCACAAGGCAGTCTGTCACAGCCGCACCACCTCTCCTGAGAAGGGAGGGAAGAGAAAGCCTAAAAACTTCTAATGTTAGTGGGGCAGAAAGGAGTGGGCTCACCCCTTAACTTCCCCCTCCCCAGCATCACAGAAAACAGTAGTATTTCACCTTAAGTTTAAGTAACCAGGAAACACTTAATCATTCTGCCAACAGCCAGTAGTCTAATACAGTACCTTCGGATGAGGTCACAAGGTGAAAAGATACTCACCACATCTGTGTCTCAACTTCATATTTGTACAAGTCATCTGCTAGTCTGTATTTGTTGGCACTGAATGCTTTGTAACCTCCATGGATATAGATTGATTTGCTGTTCGGATCGTAAACACTGCTGTGACCATACCCTCCCTGCACCAATGCTCCACTTGTTCGTACAATATTCCATGTATTTGTTGCTAAGAAGAGAAAGAAATTTGTATGTGACAGAAGACATGTCATGTATCATCAGTGACAACAAGTCAATAGATTGAATGAGGAAACAGGCTCTCTCAAATCAAAACCATAAGCACCGCATATTCCATACCTACAGCGCCTCTTTCTTATTCTTTAGGAGGCAGCCTGAATTACTACTCAAAGAAAAAAAAAAGGGCGCACTCAGTGGGTAAGCAGGCTGCCAAGAGGTATTTTGTTGTGAGATTATTTTCATTAGACCAGAAGCATCTTCTCCAACAACCCTTAATTAAACTTCAAAGACAAACCAAGAGACTGAGAAATTAAAAGCATTAAAATTATATTCCACATTTCACAGCGACATCATGTCACCCGTAAAATGACTTCACTTCATAGAATACTGACTCATGAGGTCATCAAGTCCAGTCCCTCGATTTGTTATGGTATCCAGAAGTGCTCTTATTGAATATTCTACAAATAGGGCCCTACCAAATTCACAGCCATGAAAAACATATCAGGGATCATGAAATGCAGCCTTCCCACTTGAAAACTGGTCTTGCGTGCTTTTACCCTATACCCGTGGTTCCTAATTTGTGGTCCACAGACCCCCATCACAGGGGGTCCGCGGAAAGTTTTTAAAAATAAGGATCAGGCCCACCACTGCTGCCCCCCCTGCACTCCGAGTCGCAGCTTGCTTTTGATCTTGTTCCCCAATAAGGATCAGGCCCACCACTGCTGCCCCCCGCACTCCGAGTCGCGGTTTGCTTTTGATCTTGTTCCCCGGACGCTAAAGGGAGCGAGGAGAAAGGTGGAACCTGATTTGTGCATGAGAGGCATGCACAGCATGCAAGCACTTTCCCCACCTCCCTTAGATTCTGGAAAATGGGATCAAAAGCAAGCCATGGCGTGGCATACCCAGCTGCTGCCCCCTACCCTCCAGAAGTTCTGCCCTTGATCCCTACCCTCCTGAAATTCCACCCTTGAGAAGCTGGCAGCTTCAGAGTTCCTTTTGGCCATGAGAGCCCCCTTGTTCCATCAATGGGCAGGGAACAAAGGGGAGAGGCGCTGAGGAAGCAGCGCGGGCAAACAGCAGCCAATGGGACCTGAGCAGATC